TTCAAAGGGCGGGGGGGAAGGGCTGCCGCCTTAGTCACAGGTGTTGTCTAACTGAAGGCATGTGAGAGTGATAAAAAGGATCATTTTCAGTACAGTATAACAGGAAGTACATTAGTTATATAACAACTGGAGGCATCTTGTAGCTAGGCAGCAGAGGAAACTTTTTCACAAATAATTTTTAATAAAGGTCAACAAATATTTATGAATTAATAATAACTATTATATAAAATAGCTAAGATTGTTAGGTGTATTTCTATAACTTTAACTCAGAATTTCCTGGGTTTGTAATTATCTCCCAAATAAGTATTACAGAACCCTTATACTGTTCTTACTCTGAACTATAATTGCAGTTTAATGTATTTTCATGTGGGAATTAGAGAGAAAGGGCTTGTAAACCATTTGTTTTAATTTTTTAAAAAGTGGAAATAAAAGGATATTCCTAGATCATTGGTAATATGCACATACAACAGGACATATTTTTATGGTGCAGATTTGTCATGATTGCAGACTAAAATAATTGATGGTTAAAAAGTTAGAAAACTGTTGCTTTAAGATGGTGATTATACTAGGAAATTATAATTGGTTTGTGATTCTTACATATTAAGCCACAGAACATTTTTTGGCCTCAGTACCCCTCTGTAACTCCTGAATTCAGAGGCACTTGATTTCAATAACAGTTTATTTATAATAGCACTTAACTCCTGGCTCAGAGATGCAGGTGTTGAGGGCAGGAGTGAGCACATAGGACATTTATGTACAGTTTATATTATCATTTGTATACGATGGTTTGGATAGGGATCATCCTGCCTCAGACACAGGGCTGGACTAAATGATTTTGGAGGTCCCTTCCAGCCCTACTTCTCCTATGATTTGATTTTAAAAAGCTGTGAAGTAAATACTGCAGAAATATTGTTTACTTCAACTCCCAAAGAAAGTACATACTATAGGGAAAAACCCAACAAATTCTGTAAATAAATTGTCACTATACTTGTTCAGGCATTTGCTTATAACAGGTATTTACTTAATTGGGGATGAGATGACACTCTCTCTCTTATAAAAAAAAAATGTTTATAGGACCATTTATATCATAAGATATCCATAATAATTTAGTTCCATAAACTGCAGGGGCCAATGGCAGAAGGACAAAATGCTTTGGGTGTGGACTTCAACCATCTGAGAAGCATAGCTAATCCTTTAAACCATACGCCCTGAATCATGTCTGTGATGTTAACACTGTAATTTGTTCTGTCCCCCACCCCTTGATTTTAAGGTCATAAACAAATGGTATTTTTGTACAACTTTTTTACATATGATATATAGTGTATGTTCACACAATTTTACTTTTTACTGTTACTCATTATTTTAAGACCTTTCTTTTGTTTGACTTCTTATGGTGCTGTTAAACAATAGATTCAGTGCTCATAATGCCTCATTCAAAAGATCTCTTTGCTGTCAGGTTCTTATGAAGCCAGAGGCATGCTCAAAACCTCTGAAAACCCAATCAGTAGCAGTTCCTTTACCAATCCCCAGAAAGATGGCCAAAAAAGTTAACATATTAACAGCCATGTTACCCTCCTTGCTATACTCTCTTCACACAGAAATCTCTTTCCCTTTAAAGATGATTCCAGAGCAGCTGTCTGCTAAGCAGTCCTTGATGGGATGGCTCCAAGGGAGCTGCACTACCAGGAACAGCTGGGGAAGCCAGGATCTCAAGGACCTGGGGGCTAGTGGCCAGTCAGTCCACAGAGGTTGGGGTAAACACGGTTCCTACCCTGGGGAAGAATTGAGGAATCTCTGTGAGGAGAACCTCACTAAATTTTATTTTCTACTTTATATCTTCTTGTGAAAGAACTTGAATTCAGGCTCCAACTTCCTTACTTCCCTAGATACTACATTTTATGCAAAAATAAATGAAAACATGTATATTTAATAAAGAAGATTGTGATGGCTAGTCAGAGTGCTGGCACTATGATAAAGGAATCTACCTGTTCCAGCACTGGGAAAAAAACCCATTTACCATGAAGGTCTACTGGAAAACCTGACACTTAGAAACAGTTTATTTATCATTTTAACAAATTACAGATAAAAAAACAAATCATCTACAATAACATATTTGAATTCTGTTTCAAAAAATATTTTTCTCCTGATTTACATTTTTTTGAGTAGCTTATTTTGGCCTGCAGCTGCCCCTACAGCGCTCTGAATGGGGCTGAGCCCATGCGCTCCCACCAGGGGCAGCCTGCACTGTGCTCCTGTCCACACCCAACAACAGCACTGTTCCAGCCCCAAAAACCTCCCCGACCTGTGTATACAGCTTTCCAGCAGGGCTGCTGCAGCCACCTGGGTACTGCTTGGCTTCCCTACCTCTTCCTCCTGCCCCTGCTGCACTACTCCAGGCAGGAGGGAAGCTACAGCCAGACAACTCCTGCCTCAGCGCTTGGGGCTCCAGCTCCAGCCACCTTCTACCCACTCAACTGCCTGCAGGTGGCTGCTCATTATGCCAGGTGGGCACAGTGGGTGGGAGCTGGAGCTGAAGCCCTGTGCACTGGGGCAGAAGCCACCCAGCTGCAGCTCCCCACCGGCCTGATGTGGTGCAGCAGGGGCAGGAGGAGCAGCAGCTGCTGGAGCTGGGAAAAACTGAGCAGCACCTGGGTAACTGCAGCAGCAGCAGCAGCAGCGAGAGCAACCCTGCAGGGAAACTGTGCGCACTGGCCAGGGTCAGGGTGCTGCTGTTGCAGGCAGAAGTGTGGTATGGGCTGTCCAGGGTGGGGGCAAGCAAGGCATGGCCCCATGTGGAGTGCCATGGGGGCAGCCGTGGGCCAGGTACAAATCAATTGGTGGGCCAGATTCAGACCGCAGGGCATATTTTGCCCACCTGTGAGATGGGGCCTCAGTAGGATCTTTAGGGAAAAAAATGTCACTAAATCCTCCTTAAGAGACCACAAGAAGCTAATGTTTCCATTGTGCTTGCTGGGTATTGCAGAAACATCTGGCTATTTAGGGCAGGGTTTTAATCTCTTGCCAGTTCTTATGTGTGTCATCTCAAATCATCACAGAAATTTTGAATAGAGATGGATACAGATGCATATTAAGGAAAGTTATTTTACATGTCTAAGGCAATTCTTCATGTGCGTTTTTGCCACTACTCTGATGGTAACTACTGGGGAAGGGGGTTGCTACGTTAATGATCATTCTGCACCTGATGAACACACTTTGTAATCACCTCTATGCTAAGAGGAATTAATATATGTGCAGCAAGTGAAGATTAGGACACCAACTAAATAACAATCACTTTAATTTTTGTTATGATGTGAGTCATTTTTGTGATGAAACACAAAGTCATGCATTAACCCATTTCTAGACCAGTCATTTCCCTGCCACTTGTTAGAAGAATGCAAAGTAAACAACTTAGTAAAAGGCAACCTGGACTTTTAGAATTAATTCAGTTTTTACTAATCTGTAATATTTGTAATATTTTTGCTAGAAAGCCTTTGAAAAGCAGCTTTCAGTGAAAAGTTTGCTGCCTATCTATTTAAAACTAATTATAAACAAACACACTTCTTTTCAAACTTTCCACAGAAAGCTGTTTTTCAGACTTTCTACCAAATATTACAAATAGCAATAACCATGGTAACTTTGTTTCTAAGGCCTCCACATGACCCTAAGTCTTGTATAACCACTGTTGGCAGGAACAGAAAAAGCTAAAATTCAGAAATGATCTAATTTAATAAGCCTCTCATTACCAGCTTGTAAATACAATATTCCATCGAAACTCTTCCCATTAAGACTATTTTTTGAGTAGGCAGAAGCAAACAGGCTATGGCAGCACACTTACCCTAGAACTGCCTAGCAGGAACTTAGGTGCTTACATATCAAGGTGTTTGCTTTCTTTTCCACCTTCTTTTATGCAGCTCTACTGGTAAGGCTCAAATAGCAACATGAAATAAAAACATGAGATTGACATTCTGACCTATCCAAACAACAATGATGGCACTGGCTTCAGAAGGAGGAAAATAATGCTACTAATGTACAAGTTCAGGTGTAACCAAGTGTTAGCTGGGTATTTCAGACCTAATATTTCTAAGGGCTCATCTACGTGAGGTCTCTCAAGAAGCTATGGGGAAATTAGCTAATGTGAAGTCAGTGTTAAACAAGTATGTGGATACAGCCATTTATTTGTAGGTACAGCAGCCCTTGATTGCTGTGGTTTGAGAATTTCAATCTAATGTCATTTTCCCACTGAATAGCAGTATTCACAAGGAGGGCACAGTATGTTTCAAGTTATGCATAACTGATTTCACCCTTTAGGTAGGGATGCTCAACTCATGTTCCATGGGCCAGATTCAGCCCCTGGAATCATGTCATCAGGCCCACGGGGCTCCCTACAGGTCTGAAAGTTTGGCAATAGGGGAATGGTTGCCACTCCTCTGCTGGCAAACTTCTGGATCAATGAGGAATCCTGCAAGCTGGATAACATGGCCCTGTGGGCTAGATCAGGTGTGCAGGGTGGTGAATGTCCCCTGGGCTGGGCAGAGGCAGTACTGGGTCTGAACCTGGTATGCAAGACCAGGGAGAAGGGGGTCACAGTGCCCAATCCTAGTGCAGAGGGCCTGATTCCAGATGCTGGGCTTGATCGTGGCACACAGAGCCTGATCTGGCCCATGGGTCAGCCCTGCACTGCTCATCTGGCGTGCAGTGCTGAAATGTTTGGACACTACTGCTTTAGGTGATCCACTTTAACTTTTCTGCTATGTGTACAAGTCACACATTATTCCATTTTATTGGTATCTGCATCTATTTACGTGCCTGTACCAGGTAGACAGGTGTAGACACGGCCTAAGAGTAATAAACAAACAGCTTCTTAACAGTTCTCATAAGGAGCCTGTGGTCCAATTCTATACTCTGTGAAATCCACAGGAGTTCTGCTACTGATTTCAATGGCAGCAGGATCAAACCATAAAAGGTAATCATGGTATCTTATAGTATCTTAAAAGTCTTACCACTGAAACAGGTTCCATGGCTTCTTGCTTGATAGGGACTGGGTCAAACATTAGCATGTTTTTAGGGAAAACTTCTGATGCCTTTGTTGTCTTGGGCTACAGAAGGGGGGGGGGGGAAAAAAAAAGAAGTGTTTTGGAAAGTTGTAGGAATGGTTAGACTCAACCCAGAACTGGTTTTTTTTGGAGCTCACTCCTCCCATTAGATCAAATGTATTTGATTTCATTTTTCCAAATAGGTAAGTTTTATATACTCCAATGCTTTATTACAAAATAATTATTTTGTGGTGTCATCTAACGTTACTATAATTTCAGTAAAGCTCTACACACCAATCATCTGAACAAGTTCACGTATACCTCCATGCCTTATTTGTCAGAAAGTAGTAGACTTGTTCTATATATGTACATATAAATAAAAATTAAAGGTTAAGTTTTACTATTATAAAAGCTTCCTATTAATTCCACAACACGCAAGGCATAAACTATCGTCTCCAGCCAGTAGTCCTGACGGTGGTGACTAAACACTGGTGCTGCAACAGCTAGCCACACAAACGGAGGAAACTTAAGAGCAAGGCTAGTTTAGAAAAGCACAGCAGACATACTGCCAATAAGACACCACAACTGATGCATCAGCTGCTTCCCAAAAGAGAACAGATTACACATCCGCCACAGTCAGTTGGGAAATAACCGATATTAAAAACTGTGCTAGTAGTAAGTTTCTATTGAAACATTTTCTATGAATACATAGATACATCTGAATTATGTTACCTAGGACTACATACAAAATCTTGCCCAGCCTGGCCTCAAGGGCTGACAAAGTATTAAAGTTGACAGGCAGTACATGGAAAACCACTTCACCATCCCGGACAAGCTTTATGTTCTACACTGAGTGGGAGCATTAACAAATCCAACTACTTCCAGTAGGTGGTGCTAGATACCTATAACACTAGGATTCTACCATGTTACATCAGGACATTTTCACTGTAAGATTAAAGCTCACTAAACGAATTAAAAGGCTTTAATGGTAGCTGAAAAACTGTCTAATGATTTAAAGAGTTAAAAGTATACATGCTTCAAATTGCCAAATTCCAATTGTTCCACACTAATGAGCAAGCATGCAATAGTTAAATCAGTGAGCACACCTTAAATAAATGATTTTAGATATGTAAGAACGATTTTTTTCCATCCATTTCAGGGATAAAAGGAGAAAGTTTAGTAATCTGAGGAAAAACCCACTCAAGTGTGGGTTCCTAAATGACAGAAGAAAACAAAGCACTGTGAATAAAATTTTGAAGAGTAAATCTAAGCATCAATATAAAATCACCCACCGAAGGACCTGATCAAACCAAATTAAAAAAAAAAAAGAAACAGATATAATAGTTCAAAGAAAATGCCATTTTTGTCCAATTTTAAAGCTGGCCATACTTGATATAATCTGGATTGGCTATATATGTTCCTCTGGAAAAAAAGAAGGAAAAAAGGAGAAACAATTATGTCTCTCTCTCCTGTGATTTAAATGAGATATTTTTTAGGTTGTGAACATTTTATATCATCTTCTCTAATGCTAAATCTCCCCACTCGCCATCAAATGAAAGAAATGTCAGTTTCCCCAAATATCTACATCTGACAGTATAGAAGGAAAAGCATGTTCCACAACGTAACCAGCCTCCTTTGCATGTCGGCCTTCGTTTAGGGGAATTTAGAAGAGTTGCTTTCAGAAAGTTTCCAGAAACTTTCTATTTTTAATTTAAATGGTATAGTTAAAATGACAACAAATAACCTTTTTAAAGCAAAAATACAAGGTAGAAGTCATTCCAAGTCATCCATTTTTCCTTCAACCACGTCTCCTGCCACTGTTGTGGTTCTGTATTTCCATTTTTCAGGGCTGTTTATTTTCTACCTGTTACTGGGTGTCAGTGGGTGAAACACTTTATATGGTCGAAGAAAGTTACATTCTCATGCTTCACAGCACATGGATATGGGCGAGTTAGAATGAAACTGATAATAGAAAGTATAGTGGACAGAGTAAAAGTGAAAAGTTTTTCTCTTTAATCTCTTTCCGTTAGAGTAATCTAACAATAACAGGCTAAAATTTCATTGCTGTATCATGTATATGTAAGTTCAGTATTTCTTTATTGGGTATTATACTGATTTTTTTAAACTATAGTTAAGACAAATACCTCTCCCGTCCCCCTCCAGCAAGGTGGTAAGAATAAACTGATTTTATAAGCAGATCATTAAAATATGTACAACATTTTGGTCCCATGGGTTTGGGTTATAAATCTTATCCTTCACCTTAAGTAAACTGGTGTAAGTCCACTGGAGTCAATTTACACCAGCTGAAAGTTTTACACTAGGATAAACTCCCAGGATGCAAGATGGATTTCTGGAAGACTGAAGTATCCTCCAAACTATCTGAGTCACTCTGAGGAGAAATCCAATCATTCATACATAAAGTGAATTACAAATTAAAGAAGAGCCTTTGTCTTTGTCTCAAAATGGTTAGAGTTTTTTGCATTAAAACGCTTTTTATGTGGGTAAAAGAGTTTAAGCTGCATGTAATCTGAAACTAAATAATTAACTGTGATCCAGTAGGCAAACATTCCACCCTTTCTTGCTCTCTTTGCTAACAAGCCACCCAGTTATACTTTCCTGCCTCCTCCCATACACTCCACCCTATGGATCTTTGCCAAGACAGCCCAACTTGTCCAAACAGGACATGGCTCTTGATAAGACTCTGCTCACACCCTGTACTTCAGAAAGACAAGTGAAGTAATTGATTTTTGTATGCAAATAAGGACAGGTGCAAAGGTCTAAGCAAAGTCTCCCAGCATTTTCATATCTTATCCCAATGAAGAGACAACAAGTAAGAAAAAGAAAGACCTTGTCCTTTAATAAAGTAAAATCTGCTACGTCTGATCCAATTTTCAGTGATTCCTTCTTCCTGAAAGGAATCTTACCATGGAAATAGTTAATTTTCTTGTCAAGATTACTTTTAACTTCTAGACAGGGATGGTTTGTTATTTCAGAGATGTGAATAAAAGTAAATGAAAACTTAAAGGCACTTAACACATATTCTGACAACAAGAATTTGTACAGACTATTTACTTTGGATAAGATTTGCCAGTGGGTGAAGCAGCCACAGAATGCACTGCACCAGTGACTGTTTTGCAACCCTGGGGGAGGGCTGCACAAAGCAGCTATGCAGGTGTGTTCTGCATGTCTATAATCAAGGAGCAGGTCCACTCCACTCTATGAAGCTACTATGCAAGAAGGTGATTTAGAAATGCTTGAAATCTCCCAATGGAGATATACATAAGCTTTGGCTTGTGTTCCAGTGAAATATCTGGAATAGTCATCAGTGGTATGACCTCTGTTATGCCTGTGGACTGGGGGGCGGAGGTGGGGGTTGAAGAAGACAGATTCTGCCCTTTAACCTTTGCACAGTACCTATACAAAGCTTGTTTAGTCAGTCCTTGCGCCTGGGGAAGGTGAAACTGTCAACTTACGGTGTTGTGAGTCTCAGGCTTTGTACAGAGACTGTAAAGCATTAGGTTATAATTTGATGATATACACAGAATTACTACTTCAATGAGTGTGTGGTGGGGGCTGGGGCAGCTTTTGCAACAAAGTATTTAGGAGCCAACTTGTTTGACCAATACTTTGCAGTTCTGCCTCTCTGGAACCAATTCTGATGATCTGAAACTACTTCTTTCTCCATATCTCAAGCCAAACTTCCCCTGCTATTACAGAGAAGTGATATTATCAGACGACCCCCCTGTTGAAATCTGTGTGACCCTGCATCAGAAATACTCTTCAATGGATCTTTTAAGGATAATTAAACAAAGAAAAGCAATTTGATAAGAAAATTCCTTGGAAGTGTAAAGAAAGTCCCTCCAGACTTGGTAACGGAAAATATTATATGGATAATACTGGCTGCTCATCAAAATCCTCAGTCAGCAAAATACACAAGTTTCATTTATTTCAATGGGAAGTAAGCAAGAGCTTTACTGAACTAGCTCCCAAAATAGCAGCAGCCAAAAAGTTCTTATGTATATTACCACTTAGAATCAGCCAGATGCAATAGAAAACACAAAGGAGTAAAGGCCTAGGGTAGTGACCAAAGTTATGCACAAACCAGTTTAAGTGACTGGAAACCACTTTAGATCTATAACACAACAGAAGTTCAGTGCACGTAAACCATTTTCAAAATGGCTAAAACTGGTAATACTACATCCATCCAGATTGATCAGACTTAACTGATTTAGGTTAAATTGATTTACTGAGTTTGTCCCAGAACCCCTCCAGATTCAAGTTAACTCAGTCCCCCAGGATCCCAGGATGCTTTGCACCTCCCCCACAAACCCTCTTTTGCAAGGTGGGTGGGGCAGGTTAGGCTTGGCAGGGTACCAGCTGTCTGCTCAAGCCCAGCAGGGAGGCATGCTCTAGCACCCCCTGGCTTCTGGCCTGAGTCACTGCAGGCATGTAGCTGCATTTCTGGAATCAAAATGAATGCCTGTTCACTTGCTTATCAGTTCAATCTACACATCTAAGACCAACCTGCAAAGATTCAATCTATTCAGCCTTGGGCTTTTTCACTGTCTGTACTTAGCATAGAGAGGCTAGCATAGAGGGGAGTAGAGTGAAGCAGTTGGTCTAGAAGGAACAATAGTGGGAAAATTATGAAGAATTGGCTGTACAACAAGAAAAAAAATACCAATGGGTTGCCTTTTTTTTTTGTATTGGATATGCAGTGGCATTTGGTAACAGCTGGTAAAACAGACAAGAAAACTCTAATATAAAAGAAAGTTAGGATTAGGCAGAAGGTTTGGTTGATACTTTCCTCCACATGAAAAAGGAGCCAACTTAAAACACATTTTGTGTAGATGCCACTAAATTGTTTTGGTCCAAAAAAACCCAAAAAGAACTCCCCCAAAGGTAAAGTGTTTGCTTTACATTTTAATATCCATTTTTTTTTAAATCAAAAGGATGTTTCATTTTAAAATGTTAATTTTCAGTCAAACTATTTTGCTGGATCAAAAATATTTTTTTGCAACTTTTTTAGCTGAAGGTCTTTTCTCTTACTTCTCACCCTATTTTTCAGAAGTGTCAACAAACTGACAAAAACCAGTTATTGACAGTTTTATAGAAAATACTTCAAAAGATATACATTTCCCATTATTAGAAGCCACTTTGTCTACAACTACTTTGATATATTGATTTATCAGAAGTAAAGGAGGACACTATTTAATATTTCAATAAAAATTAAGGGTACACTTTTATAGGAACTCCATATTTACCCAACTGAGAAACCATCCTAGCAAAGAGTCTCTAAGGATACTCACAAAAATAAGAAGTTTTAACTGAGAAAATGTTACAGCCGTGGAACCTTGAGCAAACACTGCATCTACTGAACTGAAGGAAGAAAGGGAGAAAAATTCTTTAGCCACCTCTTGTAGACAATACTCTCCCTTATCAGGGCAGACTGCTGTCTGGTTTCCTGTCTCAAGCTACTGCTCACAAGGAGAAACAGTCTAGCAAGGAGAACAGATCTGACTTTTAAAAGCAAGTGAAGTATGAAGAATGGTACAACACTTTTCCCCTGTCCAAACTGAACCAGAAAAAAAAGTTAATTTTGAAGAGAATTTAAAAAGAACAAATATAAACAGAGCCTTCCTACTATTAGTGAAAGGTAGATGAAAACAGAGGCAGGAAAGAGCATTAGAGATCTCAAACATAAAAATGAACCTATTTTTATGCTGACTGATTTATAAAAGCACTTAATTTAAATTATAAAACTTATATGTTTCTTTCAACCACTTAAAACATACATTGACAGGTGGAATAGAGCCCCATCAAGTCAGAGAAATAAGGTTCTGTGTTCAACAAGTGTTTTAAAAAAATTCCAGCATTAGGATAGAAAATGCCATTCTCTATTATTAAGTTTATTCTTCTACTTGCTCAAACACATTCAAGACAGACATTTAAATCTTTGACAACATCAGGCAAAAAAATCCAAACGTCAAGTGAAAAGTCAGTAATGATTGAATAATAGTTTATGCTCTTAATTTTATTGAAGATTTGAAAATAGAAGAGAAATGTCCATGCAAATGTGTGTCTGGGGCAATTAAAGAGTGAACGAGTGAGAGAGGATGGTAGAGGTGGAAGAATGACTAAACACTGGATTCTCTAAGACTGGAGAATTCATTCCTACATGCACCAAAGTTTGATAGTGATATGCTGACTGCACATACCAGATAAACTTGCACAAATTTTTCAATTATGATGTGGTTTAGCGTTTAAAATCTGTTCAAGCTTTCTCTCTCTATTTAGCTAACACATTCATGTACTGGTTTCCCCTGGGACAGATCAACAATGACTATTAAATCCCTACAAGGAAGTCTTGGCACTAGAAGAAACCTTAGGAAGGGTTAAATTTGTTCCTAAAACCAGCTCTGCCAAACTTCATATTCTGGACTGGAGGCAACTGGCCTTGGAATGAAAACACAAAGCTCTAACATTAACTGCAAAGGAGTTTTATTTTTAAGGACCTTCTGCTAGCAGTGTTGCTTTATGTTAAAAACTTGCTCTACAAAACGTATGGCCTTTTGAATCTCAGTTTAAGATTTTATATCAAAAACTTTGTTTAGAGAAATTGTACTACAAAATTGACTGTGTTTGGACACAATAGTAAACCAAAGGTTTTGATCTTCCAAGAAGACAAGATAAAATATGAATGAAGCTGAAATTCTTGTGCAGAACTGACCTATACACTATGCCATATGCAGTTTTCCAGCACTATCAGCTATTTTTACTATTTTCCTTTTTCCCAAAATAGATTAACATACACATTATTTATAAATACAACTTACCCAATTTATTAGCTCCTGAGATCCCTTGAAATAACTTTTATATAATTTGTATTTCTGAAGAGACAAAAAGCAAAATTAAGATTACTGGCATGTAGGGTATGCATATTTTTAAAAATAAGTAAGCTATTGCCTTTAATATAGATTTAATTACACTTTAAAAAGGGGAAGCTTAGATAAATTTCAGATGTAGATTTCAATGTAATTACATTTAACCATATACCATCTGCAGCTACACAGATTACTAGGAATAAATAAAGTAAAAAAGAATAGGCATAGACAGGACAAAGCAGAAACATTTGTGTATATGAAAGAAAATTTACACCTTCCATGCACAAGTGACAGAAAGGAAGAAATAATTCATCTCTTATTCATCATTTGGGGTCTGATTTAAGGCCTATACAAGGCATTGTGAATCTTTCTACTGATTTCAATGAGCTTTGGCTCAGGTCCTTAGCTCTTCTCCAGTCAGCCCCGAGGTAACAGAAAGATTTCTTATGTTCTCTTTTTCAGTTTTCTCTTGCTGTTTCTCTGTTTCTTGTATTTTCCCTGCCATCAACCAAGCCAAGAAGGGAAGTCTACTCTATGATACTGCTTCAAAAAAGTGTTCAGAATTTAGCAAAATATTGGACTACCATATCTCTTTAACCCAAACAAAGTTTTGTTAGCATTTGCTTGCATTGTATCTACAAAAATATGGATTTTCTAGTTCTAGATAACAGCAATATACTTCCTTTCACCCAGCACTGTTCAATTCTACTCTTGATCTGAACTGGAATAGAGAGTGGTAACTTCAGGTTAGATAGAGACAGAAGCCAATATATTTATAAAAAGTAAATACACTGTTCTGAATTGTCTTTACATTTAACAGTGGCATTATACTAATACAATTCTATGGCATGAATGCAATTACTCCAGACCAATACTGATGCAAGTGAGAGAAATTAGGCTTATAGTTTTTTAAACATTTACTTATTTATACAATTTAGATGCCACTCTTCCCAACAACAGCTCAGGTTCTATAAATACAGGTTCAGAGAAAAAAAAAAGAATACAATTATTTATTCTTCTATGCATTAGAAGTTAATTCAGACATCTCATGATGACGTAACACAGGCATCTTAAGAAATCATGTGTGTGTAGAGACATGATAACTCACTGGGTGGGGAGTGGGAGTTGAGAGGCAGTGACAAGGGGCCTGGACTAGGCTACTGATCTACCCAAAAACAGTCTGAAACAGGAAAGAGCACACATATGCCACTTGGAATGTATGACGCAAACCCCAGCCTTGAAACAAAGAACAGGAAACAGCTCTGCTGGCTGTGTGGAGAGAAAGCATAGAGAAACATTTAGGCGGCCCTCCCTGACCCTATATTCATGAGCAGCTGGAGGTTTTTAAACAACAACAGTGGGTGGAGGTGTTGGTTCACTGGGTGTGAATAAAAACACTGTCTTTATGCAGGAGACCTGCCCTATTTACAAACAAGCAAACATCACTTGCTCGCTTATGCTGTTAAGTGTAGGTATTTTAGACAGCATGGGCATGATGATTAACCCAAGTGTATCTGGGATTTCTTTTCTGCCTATACACTGCTAATATTTAACCTCAGTCTGGTTCTACATCAGGTCACAGTCCTAACTTGCAGCTGAAAATTGAAAACCTTCTTCAAAAGGAAAAGAAAGAAAAGAATCAGATTGTTACAGGAACTAATTTTAAAAGGCCAGCCTCTAATAGAAATTAGCTATTTTTCACTGGAAAAATTCAGTAGAGTTTACTGGCTGATGACATAACCCAAATTTCAACTCGGACATGCAACTACAATAGTTAATATCTGATAGCAATTCTGGCTAATTTTCACTTTTCAGAAGCACTCGCCTCAGCGTGTGTCCGTATATATGATTACATACACACAAACAACATAATTTTATGAGTTGAACTAGCTTAGTGCAAATATAATACTTGACAGGTCATAAATACACACTAAGAACATCCAGCAAACTACTTGAGTAAGAATCATAGGGTAGTAGGGGAGAAAAAGCAGATCTCATGAAGATAATGCATCAGAACTGTAAATTTCTCACACAATTTCATTCAGACCCACTGCTCTACTGAAACTCTCGTTTACAATATACTTTGAACTAGTTTCACACTGGGGGCCAGACAGCTGCTGTACTTGATGTTATCAAACGTGAGAAATTTGTGCTGCTGGATTAGCATCATAGTAACCATGGTAACCACTCTAAGGTTTACTTTAATAACTGCAATTTAAGATATACATGAGATTATAAAACAGTACTGAAAAATTTACACAGTAGTGTGTGGGTTTATGTTTTACAGTAGTTTCTTATTTTCTCCATACTTATGCTTGCATTTCCAAATGATAAGTGGTATCTAGCTATTCAGATAGCCCCTCACTGTAGTTAATTGGGAAGTGTTCAGCTGCTTCATTCACTCTTGCATCACTGCTTACCTGTCCTGAATACTTTTGATTTGGCTGATAAATATAGCCATTTTGTAGGTGTAGAAGGGAGTTTCTCAAGCTTTTCAGACATGAGGCACACCTCAAAAGGCATGAGGCACACCTCAAAAGACCCTTCAGAAAATGCTAGCTCTTAGTCTTCCCTCTCTTTTGGACTACAGAAAAACAAAAGAGCAATCATTCCTTTGCAAAGAACTCAAAAGATCACAGTAAGTCAGTAGGAATCCATATTGTTAAATTATATTTGACATCTCAGGGTTTACCTTGCAAATAGTGTTTGGACACCTGCACTACCTACCAACAGTCTGCTACTACTACCAACTACCTACACCAACAGTACCTACCATTGTGTGGCACCTTGCAGCACCCTTGAAAGGATATACAACCCTGGTTGAGAATCACCTGTCTAAGGTGTAGCCACAATACTGTCTCAGATCTGTTACTTACTGGACAAAATTTCCATTTCCTCACAGAGGGAAAGACTGCTTAACATCTCTCCCCTCAAGCCTTAATCCTCCAACTTGCATTAATGTGCATTAAATCACTGCAAGCAAAAACTTATTTACCTGCTTGCAAGAAGAAAAACAATGCAACAATACAAAACAGTTTTTGGCTGGGTGGCATCTGAGTGATATCAAACAAAACAGTATATTTTAAAATGAGCAAGAGGAAAAGTTAGTTTGAAGTAAATCTCTCCTGGGTCAGCCAAGATTATTAAGTCCAGATGTCATTCCTCTCATACAAGAAGTTCCTCATAAAACAACCAAGGGAACACATCTTAAAACTATCGTGTGGAAAAAAAGACATTCGCAAGGAGCAATCTGATTCTTTATTTTTAATAACTTGACAATGAACTTTTATGGACATTAAGTTAAATAAAATCAGAACCACAAAGCTCCTTCATCATTAGGCATCCAACTTTAACTTTTTCACAACAATGAAGCAGAGCTAAGCACCATGAACTATGACACTTCCCGAATTTCCAGAGAGGCACAAGGCTACCATGTAGGAGACTGAAAACAAGCTGACAAGGCACATACATTAACTGGATTAAAGTGAGGGCTGCTAAAGCAATTGCTTTCTTTAAAGAATGTCCAAGTTTGGAGAAACACGGCTACAACCTACACACCCAAGTTTGGAGAAAAACTCATTTGGGTGTTGAAAAAACTTATTAGGGTGTTCTGGGGGCTGGACCTGATGATCTTTCGAGGTCCCTTCCAGCCCCAGTGTCTATGAAACCTAATGTCTATGAAAAAGAGCACTGTTCAGGATTACTTACAACTTTCCGTCCAGTTCTGGCCTGGCTTCTTAAAGAATAGCACTTCTTTGACCCAGTTCGCCCTCCAGCAGCATCAAACACACATCTGACAAAGAGCCAAGATAAATGCTCCCCTTCCCATTTATGCTTAGAAAAAAAAAAAAAACGCCACTCGGAATAAAAAGGACGCCTATTGCGGACCTCCCGTCCATTCCCTGTTAAACTGAACCTCACCTTCTAAGTATCAGCGTTACCAGTCATGGGCCATCTTAACCTTTTTTTTTTTTTTTTTTGAGGTGAGTGTAAAGCGGAGGAAGGGTAAATGAGGTAGAGCAGCCGGGTTTCACAAAGCGTTTTGGGAGCAATATCCCACCTGGTGCAGTTCAGTGCTAAACCAGGGCTCAATCTGGTCCTTGCAAGTTGTTGAGTAAATGAGCACGATCTATGAGGCACGAAAGCAAGGAGAGCCGAGTCCCGCTGTCGGGCTCCCCGAGGCCGACGGGGAGGTCTCCAGGCCACACTCGAGCAGGGCCCGGGGGTCCGCGCCGGTGGTGGCCTCTCGCAGGACTGGTGCAAGGCGGCTGCAGACGGACCCCGAGGAGATGCTGTGGAGCAAATGACGGGCCCCGGGGCCGCCGCCAGCTGGTGCTTTCCACGCCCGCGACTCCCCCGGCTCCTAGCGGAGCCCAGGCCAGCGCGGGTCAGGCGGGCACTAGGTGCCGGGGAAACAATGGAGCGAGGCACCGGGCCGAGGCTGCCGGGGAAAAGCACCGCCTGCTCCCAGCAGCGCCTTGCACCCCCTCGGGGCACGCAGACCCCGTCCCTACCTAACCCCGGGCGCCTCGCAGCGCCGGCAAAGTTTGGCCCGTCCCGACCGGGCCCAGCCGCACTCACCGTCGTCCGCGGCGGGCGGTGCGCGGCTCGGCGCTCGCTGCTCCCCGGCTCCTGGCAC